ATTTTACGAATTATTTTTTTAGTATTTTTATTAAGTGTGCCTCACTAAAATATACATACACTCCAAATTTCAGATCATTCCGATTAGTAAACAAAAAATGAAAATTGAAACACTACCGGACAACTGTGACCGTACGATGAAGTTTGGATGGTGATGAGGATAGGCGAAATCATTGTTCAATTTCGCTTATAGAAGTTTTGTAGTATCTTCCATATATATAATTCTCATATCTTATTTGGTTTCACAACTATGATTTCCACAAAATAAAGAAAGCACAAAAAATAAATCAAAGAACTGACGAAAGAAGTAAGGTTTCATAATGACATCCTGTTCACTTATTTCATTATGAGAATGTGTCTTGATCATTTTCAAATTGGACATCCCTGACGTATAGAAGTGCTTGGCAATGTGGGAAGGGTGACAGACAATTAGGCTATTTGGTTAACACTTCCCAATGCAAAAAATTAGAATAGTGTTCTATGGGATGAGATATGTTGACTTCCTGTAGATTAGGAAGAGGACCATTTCTGCTGTTCTGAATTTCAATAAACACAACGAAAAGAGAATGTTGACAAATGAAAAATCAACTGTAATTTGCAACTGATAGAGGATTTTAAATGCCATAGGCATTCATCCAGATTTCAATGGATATACAATAGTACACTACAGCATGGGAACAAAGCATCTTTATAATCCATTTCAAATGCAAAAATATCAAAAATGGAGGAATTGGGCTTGGGCTTAGTAGTTAGCAATTGAAGTCAAGCAAAACCACATCTCACATTCGATTCCTACCAATTGAACTACCAAAAAATAAAAAAGAATAGACTAATCTTCAGTTGCATTAGCTAGTAGTGGGACCCGCCAGTTCATTCCATATGCTTTTGCATCAGGAATGGATGGTGAAGATTCAACATATCATGCATTTTACATGATGCAACCATGTCATAACCTTTCATATGCAATGCCCCCAATCAAAATGTTCCAATTCAAATAAATCCTCAAAGACTATTGCCATTGATAGCTAGACAAAAACTAAGGCCAAATGATGCTCCTAATTAAACATTATCATATTCAAATGACTAGACATCCCATGGTGTTTTAATTATCGTACTTATCAAACTTGACAATCGCGAACAAACTAGTCAAACAGAAATGGAAATCTGGATCATCTAAGTACACATACTTTTGAGACCGAACCCGGATTGACTTTATTCAAGACATTGCAGAGTATGAGACCATTGCGCAAAGCAAGACAAAATTCTTCTTCAGATGGTTCATTTGATAATGTTTCGTTAGCCCCATGGTCCATCTGCCTAAGCCATTCTGTTGCCTGATATCTTCTATAAGCTGTCACCATAAAGATATATCACCACAATAAATCAATTTTCACTTTTGTAAGAATGCTCAACTAAGGAGTAGCATAATAATTCATTTAGCTTGACTAAAGTAAGGGGCCAATAGGTAGAACTCGGCTCTAAAACCATGTTTATGTTGTGTGTGTGGATTGTATACAATGAGACTGCTACCTTTAGTACACAAAGATCACAACACTGCCAGCCATACCACATGATATCGAATGGTTACGCTGTGCATTTCTCCCACAAAGTCTAAGGAAGATTTTATCGGATTTCAAGCACAGTTAATAGTAATAACCCCTAGCAACCTGCTTTCACATTTCACAGTTGATAGCTAAGAGTAATTGTGACTTTTTCGTACCAAATACAAATAGTTTTATTGCGTGTTTTTGTGTATGGAACATATTTCAACCAAATATTACATAGACATGGAGTAATTGAAGCCTCAGATGTTGCACCAAATACTAGAAACTTGAAATGAAAGCATGTTTTCATGTAGTCCACAAAGAAAATTCAACAAAAAAATAGGAAGCCCACATAATGCTGGAATATTCTTTTTAAAACAAATTTAGAAAATAATTTTAATTAGATTATTTAAACTTTGCCTTGGCCGGCATCCATGCCCGTCATGCTGGTCCCAAGTCAGGTAGAGGAGGAGGATTGTGTCAAGTAAGCAACCAATATAAAACTGTCATATCTTTTCATGAGTCTTGAGACAGAACAAGATTTATGTAGCCGACCCTAAATAGTTGGGATAACACTTGGATGATGATGACGGCGATATCACTAAGATTATTTAGAATAGTTATTATTATTATTTTTTTTAAAAAAGCAGAAATAAATGTTAATGGAAAGATACCCCGGTGAATGATATTTGGGGTAGTAAGAATTAAGCAAAAGGTGAGATCAAAAAATAACATCTCACAATTGAATAGAGATCATTTAATTTTTTAAGGTGAGATCAAAGTATCAAAATTCCTAAATTTAAAATTTTATCTTTTAAAAGTAATTAGCGAGTGATTTTTAGGAGATTCCCTATTTTTCAGATGGAAAAAATCGTCCCACATCGGTCAGTTGCCTGAGGGAGTAGGTGAAATATACTTATCCAAAAAGAAGTTAAGTGAAATGCTTTTGTGGGAGCGTACTGTACACATTAAGAACTTACATTTCAAAAGTTCATTTAATTAAAATTTTATTTTCAGAAGAGACAGGCTGATAATGACCACGTGGAGAGCATGTAATTAACATGGACCATTGGATGTGAAGTTGGGTGGTTGTATTTATTTTATTAACCAAAATCAAAGTCCAAAAGAAGTTTTTTCAAATTTGCCTATTGGTTAAGAGTTAGCCCTCTATTAAATGATGTTGCCTATGGGTTAAGAGTTAGCCCTCTATTAAATGATGAAAAATATATAATAAGATCATTTTTGATACAAGGAGACCACAATTATTTACAACCATCCGATGTGAAATCTGATAGTTTAGGTGTATCACAAAGTTAAAAAAAAATCCTTTCAAACTTTGATAGAATTTCAATTATGACTATGCCAAGCATATCCATCTACTATCCCGAAAGAGTATTTTTAAGATTCTAAATTTTGGGGGTATAACTTTTTTAAGTTTTATGTATATTTAATTAAAAAATATTATAAACTTCATTTTTTACAATTTTTTTAAAAAATATATATCAAGATTGAATAGAAACCCTCCACTTTTTTAAAGGTGAGATCCAAGTATTAGAAAGCTATTTTTGCACATGCGCTATGGGAGAGCGTTGTGGCCATCACCTTCCCTTGTGATACAGTAAATACCGAAAATGAATTGAGTTCGATAGGCACCTTACATATTTGGACAATGAGCTATATTAAGCCTCAGAACGTTCGAAATTATAAATCAAGGAAGGGAAATTTACCAAAATATTTCTAATATTTCAACTATTTAATATTTTATCATGTATCAACAAATAATTAAAGCATAAACTATTGTAAACCATGATCAATGTCTTTTGATACGTTTTTTAAATCAAATAAAAATGACAAATAGTTAAAATAAATATTTATATATGATGTCAATCTTATCCTATAGAAGTAAGGTGTATCTTCAAATCCATCAAAAAGAGGGGCTCTATCTCTAGGGCCTTCCAATGGGTCAACTTACTTTGAAGAAGTATGGGTACGAGAAAAAAAAAAATTCAAGCCTTAAAAATATTGCATATTGTGACACATTATAGACCATTGATTTTAAAAGTTCTGAAGTGTTTGCACATCAGTTTGATCTAAACCATTTTGGAATTTTTAAAATTTATAATTACTGGTGGAAATAGAATTTCAAGTCATTTTAAGATTTCTAGTGTCGAATGCCATCTTCCAGTGGACATGCTTATATAAACACTACCCTTAGTTTATCTAATGCGTACTATCCGATAATTTTCCTTTTAATAAAGTTCAACATTTTACATTTCGAAAAAGTTTATATAGAGCCGAGGCCCTAAACAATCAAATTAGAGCCCACCTCAAAATTTTAACTAGAAGAGATTGTTTTGATGCTCAAATATACTCAAATTGATCATCTTGACATCAAGATGCATGGACATGAGAAAAAAATGAATTTCAAGTTTAAGAAATAGCGCCTCTTGTAACGTATTTTTGGACCGTCAATTTTCAAGATTTATTTTCATTGGGCCGTACAAACTCATCTTGACTAAAAATGGTGTATTTGTTGGTAAGGGATACTCATGTGATGTGATGTTCAAATTTGACCTTGTTAATGAAATGAATATGTCTTCTACGTATATTCTTACTTCATGTAATGTATAGCATAGTAAGTTAGGACATGTTAATTTTGCTTCAATTAAATATTTCGTTAAATTAGGATTGATTTTTAATTGTGAAGTAAAAAAAAATTGTATCATTTTTTGCTCTCATTTCACCCAACCAATCTCCAACAACTTTTTGTACAAAGAAGTCACAATCGCCTAGAGATATCATATGTGATATTTAATAATACAGATGTGTCACAATGTTTGATAAAAAGTCTTTTAAACTTTGAACCTAATCGCTTGAATAAATGCAGACACCCAGTTTCACATCTAATGTTTGAAAAAATTCTTTTCAACTTTGAACCTAATCACTTGAATTATTCACTTGAATAAATGCAAACACCCAATTTCATATCTAACATTCAAGATTTATTATGAGCTCCAGGTACCAAATATAAATATATTTATAACATATTTTTCTTTTGGCAAATTCTTCTTATAAACCACTTCCAGTAGAAAGTAAAAACACTTTATTTTTTATTTTTATCACTTTCCGTAAAGTTCATTACTTTCAGGAAATTTTTAAAGTCGATTATATTTTTTAATTTAAAAATGGTCACATATATTTCATAGTCTACACTCAAGTGCCACTTTTGAAAGTATAAAATAAATTTTAGTTTTATTTACTTATCTATACATTAGATTGAGTGGTATCTCTATACTTGTCATCATCACCTATCTATAAAAAATTATTTTTATTAATAAATAAAATAATAATTTTAGCAAAATATTCCTACAATATTCAAGGGTATTTTAATACTTTTCTTCATTTTAAATTGATTTTTAATGTATTTTTTATAGGTGTGTCATGGTAAGAAGACAAACTTACCAAGTTTGAGCTTAGTATAACGTATAAATAAAAAAATAAAATTAAAATGCAATTTGGGCTATTAAAAAATTGAATTACAAATGTAAAATTTGAAATATATGGGACTATGTTTAAATTTAAAAAATAAAAAAGAAGAAAGACTGTGTTTAAATTCTATAAGTTTCCCTGTATTTGTTATCCATGCAAATGCCAAAATGGGATTAAAATATACCAAAAAAGAAAAGAAAAGAAGAAGAAGTAGAAGAAGAAGGATAAGACTTATGCATAATCTTTCAGATCTATGCATTACCCGAATTTTTGACTCACGTGAACAATTTGCATTGCCGCATTAAATTTGATAACTAGCTAGTAAATAGAAGTTTGGCTAATATTCTTGTAGTCTCTATAAATGAGATAACCAAAATGCGCAGTCAACCCGTTTTTTAAGAAATTTACGGTCATATTTGTTGGGCAAAAGTTTCACCGAAGCCGAAACACATCCGAACATTTCGGCTCCACAGGGGGCATGGTAGGGACAACTTCCATTTTTCTCCGAACGACCAAAAGCTCCGCAAAATAAACACCAAAAAAATCAAAAACTTCAGAAGTTTTATCTACTCTTGCAAAAAGGATCAACTAGTCCACTTTTTCCTTTCGTTTTTTTCTTCTTCTTTTTCTGGTTATTTTTTATATGTTAATCATGGGATAAATTAGTCAATTTACCATATAAATGCAATTATTATGTAAATTATTTGGCCATAAATAACTCAATGCATTAAAAAAATTGAATAGAATTTCTCATGTACCTGCTTCTTCAGCTTTCCACATGGCCAATCCATCATATATTGCCCTATTTTGTCCACCACCTTCAGGCAAGGATGAATTCTCATGATTATTATTCAACATCTTGAGCCCCCTGAAGCTTTTACAAGGGGAGGTGAAAATGGGTTGCTGGACGCCTGAATCACAGTGGCTTTCTTGTGGCATTTTCTCTTCAATTAGAAAGGGAGAGAGAAGAAACTCCTCCAAATTCCTCCTAAATTGAAAAGATTGGCTGGCCCCTGAACATGGAAACAAAACGGTGAACATGAGGTTTTAGTTTAAATGGTTTGACCCAAAAACAGCAAGTCTAAAGATAGAAGAGTTTTTTAATGTATAGAGAGAAGGAAGTTGGAGCATTCACTAAATTTGGAAGGTAAATGGTTTTATGTTTTGTCATAAAATTTTGTAGAGACAAAGGATACCTAGTACTCTGATGCTTTCCCCCTAAAATACCTTAAAATATGATTATAGCTAACACAAATATTGGCATCTATCATGATTTGTGGCAAATTTATAGGACCTTATTTCCAAACGAGCCATGAATAAGCGGGCATGCTTATTGGAAGATCCATCGGATCTTTTTCACTTTTCACAAAAAAAAAAAATTGAAAAACTTTGATAGGAATTCTCTCTAAAAAGAAACATAAATGTTTGATGCAGTATTTAAAAATGGGTGTGGTTTCTATAACGTTGCAACCTTAAACTAAGCGCACCTCCAAATTTTATCATAACATGCAATTTTGGTGTAAAAAACTCTTAAGATTATGTGAAAATCTATTTTTATATTTAATTACAAATTTTTAAATTCTAAATATGGTTAAAATCAAGTAGATCGATAAATATATGAAAATCTTGAAAATTGACGTTCTAGATAATTTGTTGCAAGATGCACTATTTTTAGGATTCAAAATCTTTTGTTTTTTCATATGCATACATCTCGATGTCAAGATGATCAATGAGAGAGATTTCAACATTAAAACAACCTTTTCAAATTTTAAGGTGCATCTATAATTCTAGCAACCTTATATAAACTTTTTTTTCTTTAAGACATTAGAATTAAACTTTGGATCTCCCACCCAACAAACCGATCAAGCAATTTGGATCGGACATAATAGTGAAAAGTCGGTTTAAGAAATAATAAAGTAATAGAATCGGTCGGATTTGGGGGAGAGTCCTGGATCGTACACCCACCAAATCCTAATCAGGAAGATTTTAGTTCAAATGTCTTAAAAGTAAGCTTAAATGGTGCTATTTCCATATCCATAAGACCCACCAAATATTGAGTGGTAAAAAAGGATAGGAATTATAAAATGGATTATCGGTTGATATGATTTCCTGTCTAAACAGATCCGCCCAATAATGAGAGGTAAGATGCAACCAAAACTTACTAGGCATTCACTTGAGGACGCGGTTTCTGCACGGTCAGCCCACATATGCACAAATGCGGGCTTGACAATAAATATGTTTTTTAAATATAATTTGATTTTAATTTTTAGAGAATATATAATCTTTAACATAGAGATCATGAATATAAACAGAAAAAAAATAATTAAAATTAAAAATAATAATTACATTAAGAAAATATTTGAACGGTTAGTTCAATCAATTTTAGATGGACCACCTACTTGCATATGGATGTTTTATACCTTTGGATCGCATATTGTGGAAATGCGGTCCAACCCCTATGAAACAATTTTCTTCCCATAACTATCTAACTTATTTTTGAAGGAAAAGGCAAAGAAGGCTAAAAACTAAGATAAAAATGAAGCCAAAAGTTTACAGATATATGGAAAGTTATATTTAGTTATGGAAGCCACGAAATTTGTTTCCTGTGATAAATATAGCGCTAAAAGATTTCCTACTGCTGTGGGTATATGTTGCCCATCCACGACATCAGATAAAATTTGTCCTTAAAATATTCTTTAGATCCCAAATTTTGGGATATAATTTCTAGACAAACAAACACAAACAGAACTCTCATATAGAAAGAGTTTATGTAGAGCCAATGCTCTAAACAATCAAAATAGAGTGTATCTAAAAAATTTCCCTTGAAGAGGTTGTTTTGATGCTCAAATATCCTTAAATTGATCATCGCGACATCATGATACATAAACATGAGAAAAAATGGATTTCAAGTTTTGAAAGTAGTGCATCTTATAATATATTTTTAGACAATCAATTTTCGAGATTTTCATAGATCTGCTCGATCTAGACTATTTTTGAAGCTTTAAATTTTATAATTAGAGATGAAAATATATTTTAAGGCTATCACAAAGATTTTCAGTATTGAAACTACATTTCTGGACATTATTTGAAGGTGTGCTCTATTTTGATTGTTCAAAGACTCAGCTGATTACATACCACACCCTTCTATAATCGGCCAAAAACTGGCATCCCAATATTGAATAGTAACTTTCAAAATTTTTGAGAGAAATATCTAGATGTTGAAAAACTCAAACTTCGAATTGTTTTTCTTTAGAACAATCATCTGGGGATAGTTTTGATGGATCTTAAAATTTTGAACAAAAACAACAAATCCTCTCGAATAACTTTTTTGCCCCGGGAGATGTTGTACGGCGTGCTCCCAAGGGAACGTATAAATGATAAATGACATGGTTTGCCATAAAAACACCGCCAATTTTTTTCAAAAATTTCCTGCGTAGATCCCGAGATGAATTTCAATTTTAAAAACCCCCCTCAATTTGTATAAATTTTAAATAGTCCTAAGGCACTGACTCAAAGACACTTATGCCCCTGGTACTGAGCAGCCATTTCATATCTGCTCTTTGAACCAGGATTAAATGTTCCAATGCTTTGGGGAACCAGTTATCGCCAAAGCAGAAGAAAACGTACCTTATCTTTCGAAGAGAGAGAGAGATTGCTTCAAATTTAGAACGACAATTCTAAGATTTGGTTAAAAACAGAAAGAGAGAGGGGAAGGGGGACATTCCTTCAAAATCAGAGCAATTCAACTAACTATTAATGCCAAAAAATTGCTATATAAAATTAGATGAAAATACTCATGAGTGATCATAGAATGGACAAGAAATCACAAAGAAACATCGACTCCCACTATGTTTTACTTACATAAGAAAGTAAAAAAGCAATTCCTAAAAGAAAAAGAAAAAAACTAACAAGACTAAACATAACGACTGATTTCTCTGATTTCCAAAAATACCTTTGAAAACTCTGTGAACTCCACATTTTGCAGATGCAAAACAAAAATGAAACTCGATTCTCCAAATAACAGAGAAATAAGTTAGGATTCAAACAAAGACTGAAAATTCAGACAAGCTTCGCTAATTTTACTAATTTATCAGATGAACAAAAAATGGAAGATATTTAAGCAAGATCAGCATAAAGTCGAAACAAAAACAAGAAACAAACTGCTTTTAACGGATCAAACACCAAATGAAGGCAGATCACACCAGTAAAACATAGAAAATAAGTTCAAATTTGTTGATTCATAATTCCATACCTTTGCATAAACCTCTCCTTCTCTTTCACCAACTTCCAGTTCAGAAACTTTATTCTTCAATAAAAATCCAAAAATGATGGCGATAGGCCGTGTGGAAAAAATGAACCAGTGAGAAAAAAAAGAAAGATATAATCTTCACGTGAGCTTTCTAAACTGCATCAGAGATACTTCATCTGCACATTCAATAAAGATCTGTTCATTTTCTGGCCACTTATTATCAGTGAAGTAGGACTCAATTCGTCTGGAAAACGAGAGTCCGGCAAAATAACCGCTGCAATGAAGAAGATATATATTCTCAAGCCAATTATTTCCGGTGAAATAGGCCTCAATTCGCCTGGAAAAGGAGAAATTCCGGCCAAATAGCCCCTGCCGTGAAGAAAAATATAAGCAAACAAGGTTCTCGTGAACGTTTTAAGGGAAAAGAGAAAGGGGAAAAGCAGAGAGTGAGAGAGAGAGATTTTAGAGAGAGGTAATGAATACGATCACAACGGGCGGGAAGGAGAGAAAGAGAGAGAAAACAGGAACCCAGTCCTAAAAATAAAGCAAGCCTTAAAATACTTGTATCAATCCGACGTGGCAATCGGTGCAAGTGGGTCAATAACAGGCTGCCACGTTCTAATGTACCTGCCATGTCATAGTTTCTGGCCCAAACATAAGGATCCAATTGATCTAAGCCGAGGGGATCTTGGGCATGGAAACTTATTCTCTCGGAGCCAAAACGGTGTCAGACAGGGGACCCGACCTCGGGTCCAGGAATGGGTTCTTGGACCCAAAAGGCTCGGTTTGGGTGCAGACCCTTACCTAAATTCTATTCAAGTCTGGGTTTAGGTCCACCTGGATCCAAGCCAAATAATACTGATATATGCAAGTATTCATAAATGTTACCAATACGATTGTTTTTTAGGAATTCCTGTTATTACGTAAAATAGTAAGGAATGTGGGTATATGTGAGTATTCATAAATGTGCAATATTGTCAATGGATATATGATGGTAAAAGAAAAGGGCAAAACAAAAAAACAAGCTCATAGTCATATCCCGTGGGTCTCCCATAATGGACCTGACCAGACAGACATGGGACCCGACGGGTAGACCCGACCTTGGGTCAAGATATGAGTCCAAAGTTTGGACCCAAAAGGTTGGTCTCGGTCCAAAACTTAGACCCGAATACTATTCAAGTTCGGGTCCAAGACCAGCGGAATCCGACCTAGACCTGATCCATTGCCACCCTTAGTCATTTATCGAAAATCCTCTGGTTTGAGTCGACGAATTCCCAATTTGGATTGGCAAATTGGACCAGTTATACGGTGTGAGAATAAGTACATACAAAATAAAATAAATTAAAGAAAAAAAAAACATATTAATGTACAAAAACCAAACGATTTAACTAGTCGAAATTGCCCAATTCCTTGACAAACTCACTCGGTTATTTGACAAAATTAAGCTGAGTTCATAGGAACTAGACCCAATCTAATAAAGAAAAGGGTCGGTCTGAAACTAGTTCGGCGATTCGGATCTGAACCTCCACTTTTTAAGATGCTGAGATAAACTCGGACTTTGATTGATCGGATTTGAACAGCTCGGCTCAAGCAAGGGAGCCGAAGCTAGAGCTCAAGGTTGGATGAGGTCGTTGCCACGTGGCAAGGATTGGAGGAAGAAGTACAAGGGAATTACGACGTTTAGGGGCGGTTGGTCTGGAAGATGATGGTGTGGGAAATGAGTACGGTCTGTTTGAAGATAATAAGGTGTGGGCCAATTTTTTTTGTTTTGAAAAAATTATTGAAAATTATATACCACTCTTTAAAAAAAACAATCCTAAAAGTTGATTCGGCTCCTGAGCGGTTTCGAGTCAGCTTGGAATCTGCAAAGCCAGCTTGCTAATTCTCCGGAGTTCTTTTATTGAAAATAGAAAAATTGGAGAGAAAAAATAAAGATCGGTAGAAAACAATGGCATCTCTAACATGGTTTACTATAATGATTTCGAGCTTGCTCGGCAAATTTTGAAACACATGTTACATTAATGAGTTAAAACTAAAGTTGAAACATCTAAATGAAATGAAAAATGTGGTTCCTATTGGCCTAAGACTAAACTAAATTTGATCAAATACATGGAGAACTTGCAAAATGTCATTTCAATGTTGAAAACCATTGTGATAGCCTGCAAACCTATTTTTGAAAACTTATATTGAACTTTAAGCAAACAACTACGACATCCCACTTGTCAACCAAGACATCCCACCTATGTGGTTGACATCGGATGATTAAGGAAATGCCAAGTCTGTGCTCGCATTGAATCCAAACCTTTCCTATAAAACTTGAGGAATTTTTGTTCCTTTTGTTTGGATTATTAGAGACACAAAGGATCTTTTGAGTAATTTTATTATTATTATTATTGTTTAAATGCTTCATTGGATAACCCTTTTAAAGATGCAAATACAAGCATTTCTAGTTGTGCCTTGGGGTTTGAACCCATGAAAAACGCACAACCATGCATCAACCGTCCATTCAGATAAATTGAAATCTCAACCATCCTTTAAATTTTCTATCCTTCAGGCCCCATCCTCCTCTTTTATCATCTCTTTGAACAAAGCACATTCCCATGTCGCTTCTTTTTCCTTCATCTTCATGTTCCCTTTTTTACTAGTTTTCTTGTTATTTTCCTATCCTCTTGGAGATTGTATTTCTTTAATCTTTTATTCGATTGTCCAAGCATATAATTTTAACTTTTGCCTTTGTTCTATTTTTCTAATATACTTTTTTGTATGTTGGTCTATTTTCCCTTATAATAATTTATTTGTAGCTATCTTTTACTAAATAAATATAAAATAAGATTATTTGTTTTTGAAAAAAAATTATATAAGGTTGCAACCTTACTTGTAGAAATAATATTATACTAATCTATATTGTTCATTTTATTTGGATAGTGTAAATTTAAAATGTAAATTTAAAACTATCTTATAAGATGTACCACCTTTAAACTCTATATTAAAATATGTATCAAATCTGTACCATTGAAATCTACAAATAAGGTTGCCCCCTTATACAAAGTGCACTTTTTATCTTTGGTTTGAGGAGGCCCCAGTCATATTTATTCATTGGATGTGAAATTAAGGGGCTGATAGTGTGCCTTTGACTAGGTTTGAAAAATAATTTCTTAAACTTTGTGATATACTTATCACATTTGATAGTATTATACCAAATGTAAATGGCCTTATATTACACAATCCCATTTGATAGTATTATACCTTGTTCTAAAAATAAATACCTATGTAGAATTTATTGGAAGAAAATGAGAAGAAAAGTAGGTCAAGTCTTCATTCATAATCACCCTATGCATGGTTTATTTAATAGTTGTAATTTACTAGGAATAAACAATGTCAAAAAGATGTTCATCGTCACTTCCATTCACTAAATTTCTTCTAAAGAACTTGAGTGCATCATTTTATGTGATCAACTTGCTTTTGCTTTTATATTTTTGTGCTAGTAATTAATAGTATGGTCCACAAACGTGCTTACTATCATTCATTTGAGGGAAAAGAAGTCCAAATGCTTCATTAAGGATATCAATATTACTTGCTTAAAAATTATAAAGTGTCTAAATATCGATGTCAATTGCATTTATAATGCAAATTACGAGTTCACGACCATCCAATTCCTTGCTCTTAGACAAATAATCAAATATTAGTAGAAGTAAAAGGATTATCTATACAGATACCATTTATCTTTTATACATGGAGGTCGCAATCATTTTCACTTATTAGATGTCAAATTGGATGGTTTGGGGTGAGCCACAAAGTTCGATAATTTTTTTAAAAAAATAATTTTAGAAAAATACTTTTTTTTTGTGTCTATTCAATGACACTCTTGCAACCACACATTTTGAAATTCAATGGACAAAAATGATTGTGACATCTACATACAAAAGATAAATGAACTCTTTGTAGACATCTAAAAAGCAAAGCTGCACATCAAAGCCCTACTGGATAATGCAACTTTGGTATTTAAAAGCCTATTCTAGCTTGGAAATCTAGTTACACCCTTGTATATGAAATTTAAAGCTTAAAAATTGGTGCAAATATAGCACATCTATAACATATGCAAATAAATGGCCTAGATAATACATTATAAGATGGATTGTTTTTAGGACTTGAGATCCATTTTTTTATACATAATTATAGAGGTTGAGATTATCAACTCGGTGGTCCTGACATTGTCCCGGCCAAATGTTGGCCTAGCCTACTGAACTTTTCCCAAGAAAGCTAATCCACAATTAAAAGGGAAATCATTCTTGTAAAAGTGCACAAAGCTTCCCATGCGCATTGTTGATCTTAACAATCTAATCCCCATCAAGCACGGCGTGGAACCTGTTTTAAAGCATTGTGGTGGGACCAATATGAGAATGGACGATCTAGATGCTTCGAGAAAAGAGAAACCGACCTCCCAACAAAATATAATCCAAAGAAAAGAAAATCACACTATGATCCACATGACCACGAGAAACAGTGCTCTAAGGATTGTGACCATCTGACGGACCGTGATGAAGCGATGGTGGGGTACACCAAATTTCACATCATTTCTATTAGAGTAATGATCCTATGAGACCCTCCCACACTCATGTGTGTAGGATCCCAAAATATCACTATTAAATTTAGCACGGATCTCAAAAAAAATTATCACATAAGTGTGGGACTTGACTTTTCAAGAGATCTATGCCAAATTTAATGGTGATCCTTTAGGGTCCTATACACATGGGTGCGGGAGGGTCTTATAAGGTCATTTCCCTTTCTATTATAGTTCCATCTTTATCTCCACCACCATCCAACAAATTGAATGGATGATGAGGACACTCATGTTAGGATTGATGATAGAACCCGACACGAAATTGTGTGAGGCAGGCTAGGTCCGAAAATTTAGAGTCAGACCCAGCCTGTGACCCTTCTAAATTCATGATAAGGCAGCCTGAACCCGTCCTCGCCTCGGCCTAGCCGGCCTTATATAAAGATATGATTTCTTAATATACATAATATCATCGTCACCATGAAAGTATTTTTCCAACTAATTGGGGTCGACTACACAGATCTTGATCTATCATTCTGCTTTATTAAGGGTCATACTCTTAGTGAGGTCATAAGTCTACATATCTTAATCTGTGCCATATATAATTAAAAATTATCAAGCCAAGCCCGAGCAGGATCAGTCTAGCCCCAACACAAACAAAAAATATTTCGGCCTACCAAGCTCAATCCCTTAAGCCCTAACATGTGGCCTGAAACCAAGTTGAAGGCCGCAGCCAGCCCGCTCGTTCACAGCCCTACTCAAGGGCGTTTAGATCATGATATGCTCTCAAAAGGAAAAAATGGATAGGTCTAAGTCTTTTTAAAGTTTAAACAAATCAGAATAAAAATAAAAGGTAAAAGGGATTGTATACAATAAGACCGTTTATCTTTTTTACAAAGATATTACAATTACAAGTCATTAGATGTCAAATTAGATGGCTTCCGCATGTCACAAAA